TTAGTTATATTTGAATATATATATTTAGATAAAGTCAGGCATATCGGTAAAGGTAAGCTGATCGGCATGACCTTTTCAATTTGAAAATATCAAACAGGCTGCGTAGATTATTATTACTGTTCGATTAGACGTTTTTTAAATTTATTCAATGTATTTCCCGGAAAAAGAATGGGATTCATATTGGAGCTACGACCAAGGACTGTTATCTACTTATCTGTAACTCAAGATCTAGGAAGGTGATATCTTAGAAGCTCATGATAATCATACGAAGAAACAAAGTTGCCTGGATTGAAATACCAGACAAGTTTTTCACGGTATAGAGAAGCAGAGATATTAGCATACTTAGATTACATTAGATTTGGCATCATTGGCAAATGCCCAGGTTTACAAATTTTCATATAAAAACTTTTTAAATTAGAACCACAAGAAGCAACGCCCGAAACTAGTTTTCGAGTTTTTATGTTTGTTGTTTAGATCTTAGCTTTGTTTGTTTACCAAGAAAAACAGCAGCTAATCACTTAAATTTTATTATTGGGATTCACATTTCGGCACAGTCCATAACCTCTAATTGGTTTTGTATTCTTCACCGATTTTGCTCATCAAAATTTATTTAAAATTCCACAAGTAGGCTTCGCATGTGAATTTTACTTTCTCGTGTTCATGTATGCTGTTTATTAATTTATTCGAGGGGGGTTGGTAACGTGATGTACATATACAGCCAAAAATATACATATAGCGCCAACTAAATATAGGGTTCATATAGTTCATATAACTAAATATCCATATACAGCCAATGTCATGTCAATATAGAGCCAATTACTATACAAATACCGACATTTTGATAATGTACATACACAGCCAATGCCATATGTACAGCCAAGTAGATCACTCAATAGACACATAATAACAGCAAGTGAAAGTGATGCACATACAAAAGTCAATATCATATGCATATACAGCCAAATTAAAATACATATACGGCCAATCGAGTAATGTTCATACACAGCCGATGAATGTAGTATGCTCGTATGGACTACGCAATATACTTATACAGTCACTCAAGTAATGTGCAAAATCAGCCAATGTCATATGTACGTATATTCAACCAGGGGGCATTTAAGCGATGTCATACGATGATACAACAAATTTAAGATATATATGAATCCATTCATGTAATCGTAATGTATACATAAAATGAATATCAAATGTAGTATGGGCTACTTATAATCACCTCGATATACATATACGGCTATTTAAGTGATGTACGAACACCGCCCATTTATTTCACACCATGCACTTACTGTATATTATATATCGATGAGGTTGCATCTACAAGTCGCGCCTTGGAAGTCATATTGTTATAATAGGCGTGTTAAAAATGGCTCTCAAAAACTCCAAAACGGTTTTGATGGAAGCTTCTTACAATAAGTGTAAAGTACATGTTTTAAATAATTGTGATATCAGCATCATTTAGTGACAAGTCCATACATGTTATTTGTGAGTAACGACGCGTACAATGTCAGTCGCATACATAACATAGGTTGCAATCAATGATGCCATAATATAAGCGCCACAACAGCTGATTGTGATAACATGAGGAATGTGTTTCTGTCGAAGACGACATTGAAATTTTTCAGTGAACTATTCTTTGGCCATTGGCAGTAAACTGTCGACAAACCAACGAGGTTGACGTTTGGTGCAAACTATGTCATTGGTCACCTCTCATATTGATTAATAAAGAAACGAGAATATCGGTTGGAAACCGATCGATCGATAGTTAGGGGATCCCCCAAAACAGAAACTGCAGTTTCGATTCACCCGCTCTTGTAACTTGCGCACTGCGCATCGCACACACACACTCGGCGGGTTTCAAAATTCTCTCGCTTTACAAAAATCTAGATCACTATATCAATAATTGATTGATAACTCGCTAATTGTACGACATAATTCGCCCAAAATCAATAGGCTTCTGGTCCGAGATAAGATGAATGCACATGCAAAATCTGGAGCAGATTCAATCTCGCTTTCGTGAGATATCGCGTGCATCTAACAGACACACACACAGACATACATACAGACAAATACCTATCAACATACTTACCGATTAAAATCGATAAGTAATAATTTGGCGATTATTACTTATCGATTTTAAGATCGGTAAATATATTGATAGGTATTTGTCTGTATGTATGTCTGTCTGTCTGTGTGTGTGTCTGTTAGATGCACGCGATATCTCACGAAAGCGAGATTGAATCTGCTCCAGATTTTGCATGTGCATTCATCTTATCTCGGACCAGAAGCCTATTGATTTTGGGCGAATTATGTCGTACAATTAGCGAGTTATCAATCAATTATTGATATAGTGATCTAGATTTTTGTAAAGCGAGAGAATTTTGAGACCCGCCGAGTGTGTGTGTGCGATGCGCAGTGCGCAAGTTACAGAGCTGATGAATCGAAACTGCAGTTTCTGTTTTGGGGGATCCCCGAACTATCGATCGATAAGTCTTCGGTTTCCAACCGATATTCTCGTTTTTTATATTATGAGCTTATGAGGCAATGTTCGTTGACGAATTTGGGTAGTGTGCTTTCGCTTACCGAAACGCCAACACGGCTATTGATAGAAATATGGAAACGACTTGCGACTAGCGTAAAGTAGATGTAATAAAATATCATGATATGTGCATCATTCAGAGAAAAGTCTGTATATACATGTTGCTTGCACATAATAAGACTTGCAACCAAAATATGGAAATTTATATGTCTTTAAACAATGGTTCTCAAATTTCTGTGTTAAGACGCCTTTGCAAAAACTCTCTAAGCATGCCACACAGCGGCGAAAAAATATTTGAAAAAAAAAATGATAGAGACACTGACAACCAAGTTAGGTAAGCTTTATGGAACGTTAGGGCTCAGAGAAACTTTCATTTCACCAAATTGTATTTGAGATTCCTGTGGGGCCAGATATTTCATTCAAATGCTAATGTCGTATTAAATTCATAAAGTACACTTTTATATGATGCAAGAGAATAGGTCATTCTATCACGCTTGTCCATCGCTCTTTTATTAACAAGTTCAATGGTCAGCTAAGGCCTAATACGCAATCTTGATGTCAATATATTTTAGCATTGCTTCCCCATATTCATGATATACTGGTTAATCTCATTCAGTCCAAGTTATTTCTCATCCAAATTAGTAATTGGCAAATTAATATCTGGCTTGAACTCACTCTAACGATTGTATACATATGAATTTCTACATAATAACTGTCAACGCTTCATTTTTTACGTCCAAAACTGACGGTTTGAACTGAAATTTCGCCATATCTGTTTTTCCTTCTATCCAATTAAAGACTCAAGCTGCACATTAACACAAGTGTATTTCTGTAACATTTCGTCCGACCAAAGTCAGACTTCCTCAGACAAGCAGTTTACAACAATGGTAAGAAATGAACAATCAGTTTATTTATCAGTGAAAAAGTGAAACATTAAATTTGTTTCAGATCATAAGAATCCTAAATATTCAAGAGTAATTCTATAATGACTTTTTAGATACGCATGTCTCCAAAATAGTTGCCAATGTGGAAAATATATTTGAAAGAAATCTAAAATATTCCATTTAATTATTAATTTCAAAATTAATAAATCTCCAAATTTGAAGTCCCACAGTTCGTTAGATGGTGATGCTGACTCGTTGCTAGTTTTTAACGGCATATTTCGTTGAATTTAATAGAATGCCCCACTGTGTCGCAGGGTGTGTTCGAACTTCGAATTCACCCCACCGACGCAATGTGACTGAAGAGAGATTTTCAGCCAAAACATTTCTCATGTTATCAACGATCAGCTGTTGTGGTGTATTATGTCATCATAGATTGGCGCTTATCGGATATTTATCAAAAACAACGCGCACCGGCAGTTTTATGTTTTATATTTCCCACCAAGCGTTATGTTGATTATTTTGTGGACAGTTTTATTGACAATAGCCAAAGAATAGTTCACTGAAAAGAGTTTTTCAGTCAGCACATTTCCCATGTTATCCAAGATGAGCTGTTGTTTGATTAATTTGTGGACAGTTATTGCCAGTAGCCGAAAAATAGTTCACTGAAGAGGGATTTTCAGTTTCACATTACTTGTGTAATAAACGACCAGCTGTGGGGTCATGATATTATAGATTGTTACCTATTGTATAGTTATCATAAACTACAAATACTGGTAGTTTTATGTCATTTTGTGCTCATGTAAGTAAAACCTTACCCCCGTATGCTAATATCTTATCGATCCCTACCCGCTTTGGAGTTTTTCACGCTTTTTAATCGCTAATTATATGAGCGATCCGTAATATTCACATAATTTGTAGATGCAACCGCATATACATGAATTGTATTCTTACGAAATGATCTGGCAGCATTTGTACATCACCTTAATGGCTGTATTTGTATATTGAGTTGGTTATATATGCATATGACTTGGCGGTATATGCATATTCTTGGCAGTATACGTATGGTACATTACCAACCCTATCGATTTATTCTTTCCAGTATGATTGCCGTGTTGTGTTTTTTCACCTGTGTGGGTGAATGAGCACCTACGCTGGTTACAGCGTTCCCTATGAACCTTTCCCCAGGTTTTGCCCATTTTCACGATCTTTCCGTCGCCCTTGTATGCGTTTCATTTATTCTTGTTCTGTGTTGTAGACGAAAGATCGAAATAAAATTGTATTGTATTGAAAGTATGCTTTCCGCATTTTGATCCCTCACTATTCAATCTAATGTGTGCGCCTATGTACAAAATATTTCGAGAATTATTTCAGCGGCACTTCAAATTTAAATACCATACATCTTTCAAAGACAGTTTTTCCAAAAAATTGGCACATAAACATTTTGACTACTTCTAATACTAAATTTAAAACTTCCAACGGTTCCCGATCTTTATAATACTACTAATAACAAGGGAGCTGTGCTCAAATATATGAACACGTCACAAGGTGTCGCTATTTTTTTATTCTGACACATAAAAAATGAATCTCTTAAAGTCCACAGAAATTTTTGAAATAAGTAAAAGTAATAGCCTTCTGGCACAAAAATCAATCTTTAACTACCGAAAACCAATCAATTGTTCCAATGTTCGAAGAGAAAAGCGATTTCATCATGACGAAAGTGTAGAATAACACTAACAAGAACAACAACATAATATTGAAACGATTGTCATGTACACTGACGTGTCCAATAACTGAATCTCTGTCTCCTGCTAACGAACCATCGTGTCATAGATTTTGAATTAATACATACACTATTTTAAATATAACAAATATATTCACGTAGGCTACTTTACTAAATATAGGAAATTGGTAAAAATAACACAGCATGATCACCTATGTTTTGTTCTACGTTTCCATTCCTCAGCACGAATATTCAAAAAGCGAATACAATACAACTATTGGATTAGGATACTGAAGAATGTCCGGTATTCGGCATCGCTTCATAAATTAAATAAATTGATCACTATTAAAGGAAACAATTAAACGTGTTTTATCAAATTTCATGTACACCGCATTTAGTAACAATTTGAGGTACGATCCATTACAACATGTTGCGAATGATGAGAGCCATATCGACTAGAAAAAGAATCATCGAAATGTTTTTCTCATTCTGATACATTGTTCATATCATACTTTTTAAGTAGACTAAAATAGATCAAGTTTTCAGTTATACAATTATTATTATTAAATTACAATAGAAATAATTTTTCAACATTCCTAAAAATACTCAATGACATGGAATTATAAGCAAAGTATGCAAATACAAGATTTAAAATATGTATAAAAAGTAAAGACACACATTCACTAAATTTTGCATGTGGGTGACGTCAAGTTCATTAACTATTCCTCCACACTTACAGCTTAACATTCTGAAGTCCCGAAGTTGTGAGTATTTAAAAAATAAGGTGTGTGATATTGAGCACTAAATTATTTTTACTGCCGTGCGATGTGATAATAATAGACATATACAATCATCTCTGGCGTTTGCTCGAGTTGGACCATTACTTTTTAAGGTGAGAGAGGTACAAAGTACATGGTTGATTTTCAATAAGATTGTGTACAATCTACATGGATTATTGAAGCAAGTTTGAGGCATGAAATAGAAAACAGTAGAAGAATATTCTATTCACCAATGAGTTGTTTGCATGAATTATAATGGAATTTTAAAATAATAAAAAAGTCACGGAAAAATGTTAAATACGAGTGCGATTATACTGTTTATCACAGGGGACATATCAACAAGTCGACCCGGAGCTGTCAGGAGAAACTTCACTTTCGTCGCACTTGGTAAATAGTTTATCATAAAGAGACTTGTCTCTGCTTTTTTCAAGAATTTTTAGACGTGTTGCCTTCCATTTTCTTGGCTGGAAAACTTTTCCTGTTTTCTGATCCTTAATTTTAAAACCCTTGATCGTGATAATTGGCATCAGGTAATTTTTCCACGTTACCTCATTTCCCCAGTCAAGCTTACATTTATCACAGCTAATTTTGTTGAAATGTGTCATGGATCCATTCGCAATTTTATTTCCTCTGGATTGGTGTGGAACTTTTGCAAACTTATCTTTAAAATCAATGCGATCAACTGTGTGATGATTTCCATTCATTCTGAAATGCAAAAGATTAAAATATAACTCATCACGAGATTAGAAATACAATTTTACCATCTTACGTCTATTCACATATGTACAGGATAATGTGAGAAAAATTTTATACACCTGATTAATTCACGAGTGTGACAGACAATTACACTACATTTGCGACACAACAATAAATTTCCTCCTTCAACTCGTAGAATTTTTGTGCCTAGCTTTTTCATTTCAGCTTTTTCCAAATCCTCTAACGCCATTTTTCGTCCATAGAGCATCTGTAATAGTTTAATGATTTGGTTTGCAACAAGAAGAAGACTATGTGGAGTAGTTGTTTTCAAACTGTCGTGACCGTAACACCGTGTTGCATTATATAAAAACAACAAAACATCAAATTCAAACAAAACAAAATACACTTCAGTCAAAACATTGGTATATGCAAAAATAGGTTATTTTTCGCTTTCTTCAATATTTTGTTACCGGTCCACCATCCCAATTTTTTTGAAATGGATGGAATTACTTGGTTAAAAGGTTACACACAATACCCTTAAACCAACGTTCCAAAAACCTACAGAGGATATACAGTCGCGGTGATTTAATTTGAAGAAATGAAATAGAATATACAGATTTTCGGAATTGCTGTACTTTTCCTATTGTGGACAAATTTCACAAAACTTGGGTCGCAATTAAAAGGTTTGCAAACCACTGATGCAGAGCGAACCGACTTGAGATTGTAGATTGTTTCAACCAAGTGCTTATCGACATAGGCACATTTCCAAAGATCCAAGGTTTAGCAAATAATTTTGAATATATTTCAAATAATAATAAATACATGGAAATTCAACTCATACACACAGCCACAAAATTTCTAGTTCATAATATTGAGGAAATATATAAAACATGAAACTTGAAAAAGCACCAAGATAGAGTTAATCATATTTATTTTTATTAGACAAATAATACAATTAAATAACAACTTGTCAAGCCACATCCTTGATTTTTGGAATACGCCAAATACTAATTAAAGAATGTTTACTTGATTCCTATAATCATCAGGATTTTTGTTCAGCATTTTGTGAATCTGTCTTTTAGCCTTTTCCATGAGCTGCAGTTTCTCTCCGCTGAGTTTATCTTTATGAATATTATTTCCAAAGTAAATATGGAGAACCTCCCCATTTTTTGCTCTGACACGACCTGACAAAAAAGTTACTGTCCATGTTTATCAACACAACGTTACACTTCATATTGCATTTTATATTTTATCAAGACAAAGAAGACAGGATTGTTCAAACAAACTGGCCAATAAAATACTATTTTAATATAGCAGATTCATAGAGAAGATTGGTGAAAAACATTCCCAGATAAATTCTTTGTATAAAATAGGCAGAAAATTTGGCCAATTTTCTATCACTATCAAATTATTTATTTGGGGTCAATAATCAATATCTTTCAACGTTGCAGTCAAGTACCTGAAAGTTGTGCTTTGGATATTTCATTCTTCACACAGTCAACTGTTATAACCAGGTTGCAATCTGGAATATCTATCCCTACTCCAGCAGCATCGGGAGTACAGACAAGTACTTTGCAATCACCTTTTTTAAATTTTTGAAGGGCTGCATTTTGAGCAGAGTGGCTCATACCTACAAAAAATGTATTCTTGTTAATACATTCTAAATCTAATATAAAGTTTTGATTATTCTATGTTCAATCCACAAAAAATATGATGCAATTAAATACCTGGGCAATCACTTGAACTTTTATTTCCAATTCCGATATAAACCAGAGGTTTGAGATGTCCTAGCTCCGAATCTCCACTAATCCAATTCTGTAAAGTAAATGGTACATAAGAAAAATACAATAAGCAATATCACCTTTAATAATGAATATTATGTTAATTTTTAAACTTCTTCAAGTATAACAAGATACTAAAAATATACTTTACTCATACATATACTACTAATACTATTATACTAGGTAGATACTAATACTAGTAAAATGAATACACAGGAAAGAAATATTTTGCACTGCTGATGTTTTCTCATTTAATGAATGTAATAACACAATTTACTCAAAACGTCGACACGTAAAAAATAAAATAACAATACGGATTACTGGAATATACACTAATTTGGCCATGATGCATTTAAAACAAAATATTGATAAAATTCTAGTACTGTATACGAAAAATCTTAACTGACTAACATGCCAAACTCACTTTGATACAATCGGCAAAATATCTTCTGGAAACCATAACCATACATCTAAATTCATCATTTTGTGACTTTGAGATTATTTTTGCTTTCATGATATCCAATGTTTTATTTTTGGTATCATCAACACAATTGACCAATTTATTCAAAGTGTCTTAAAAATAATGATTTAAATAAAATATTTATATCGTCGTGCATGGAATATTGTAATAAAACAATTAACAAATATAAAAATAAACGATCCTTTCAAATAAACAGATATACAATATTTCCGCAATTGGTGAGGGGCCACGAAGGAATACCAATGTCATCGTGTCAGTGACACCTTGTTTGCCGAGCTTGCTTTTATATGTGTTGAAAGTAAGGTTTAAGGCAATGCCGATAGCAAAATATAAACAGCATTTCCAACAAGCGAAATTCACGTAATATAAGGTTTCGGTCGTTCAATTACATTAGCTTCTTCTTCATATTGTGGAGGCTAACAAGTATCAAGGACAAACCTATATACCAGATGTGGCCAACCTGATTTTGACTGTGATCGGCTAAAATCTTAAAAAATGCTGGCGATCGTCTGATCGGTAATGAGGTCATGCAGATAATTTCACTCCTGCAAATAAGCTGCTCGACTCTGTGGTTGCATTTTAATGAAATCGCCACAAAAGTTTATATATTATATGTTTCATTTTACTTGGTTATGTAATTGTACCCAAGGTAAATTTTAATCATTTATTTCAGATTTATTCTAATCATACAATTCAGATCTAAAGCCTGTCTAATTTTTAGTCGTAAGTGTTGAAAATTCCTCAGAACACCTTGCCAAGTATCCATGTATTATCTAAACAGCGAAATATAAATTTTTTTCAAACCATAAAATATGGAATAGGACTGATCAAATTTAGTATCTAACTTACAATTGCCTCCAAGTCAGATTCGTTGCACGTTATGAATTAGAAAAATATTGGCATTCTGATGTCACTGCTACTGTTGCAAATACACTTCACCACACTACTCTTGAAGTAAGAGTGAGACAATACCTTTTGCATACCACAAAAAAGTATTGTAGGATCGTTTCTCAGTCAATACATACAATATTCGGCTTGTTTATTTCTAAAACTTAGCACTGGTGAAAGTGAAACCTTCATTTATTTCGTAACCGCACTGTATGTGTATATCGTATTTTGAGCATGTATTCGTTCTGTTTTAAAACACACAACAGACACTGCATGAAACTGTTTCAACACAATTTTTTGGGGTATGTTAATAAACTGACTTAACATCAGATGCGATCACCGACTCGAGACTTGGCGATCGGCCGTTCGATTGCGATCAACATGTTGACCACTCCTGCTATATAGCATTTAGTTGTTCAGTATTTAAATAAACAAATTTATAGCACGCCAATGATTACTTGCAATTATTTTGGTTAGTTAATGATATTGCTTTTAGAAAGCTTGAATGATAATAAAAAAGGATTTTATTTTAATTTCAAAACTTCAGATATTAACCCATTATTTCATCAAAGTAATTGAGTATCTGCTCACCAGCTATCAATTCATGCAGATTATTCTCTGCAGTTGTATTTTTTTCCTTCTCAGCAATGTAATGTTTTTCAACAAAATCTTCAATCTTAGCAATTGCATGAATAGAATGACAGTTGTAGCAAATTGTATATGCACTGTATAGACACTGAAAATCCCAGGAAAAAATGAAAAAAAAAATGTTATTAAGCCAGTTCATCATTTCTCAGCTCATTTCTCAATATTTCCGTATCATATAACAAATACTTTAATGGTGAGAAATGTTCATTTGTTTTATGCGGCATATAAAAAAACCTGTCCAAGGTATTCGGTAATGCAATGGTACAGTGGCACCTATTATGTATCCCCCTATTTTGAAATTTCAAAGTATAAAATAGAAAAATATGTGAATTCTGAAACTAAATTTTGTCTCCAGCTAGTAATGTTTCAATACAAAAAAAATATTAGATTTTACCTCCTAGTTATGAACATTGCTGAATTCCAAGATGTCACAAAAATACTCAGGATATGTTTCATTGAATTAAAAATTCTATGAAAAAAAACGCAACCTGCAAAGCATCGGCACATGATCTTGCATCTCTTCCAAGTCCCTTAGAGTCTTCAGCACTCAAATTTCCAGATGCGTGACGAAGTTTACAGCACCAAGTTTCAAACTCTTTATCCAATGTTGTCAAGTTTCCCTTTTTCAGAACTGTATCTCCAAGAGCTTTTGACACTAAAAATAAATATGATTATTTAAAAGTAAATTCATGAATATATGAAAAATTATTTGATATTTCGATTCTTTAAATAAGTCTTACCATCAAGTTTTTCAATCAAAAAAATTATCTGGGTCGTTGTTTCTCTGATAAGCTGTCTGAAAAAGTCATCATCGTCATCAATATCTATTCGAATAGATTCTACAAACAAAATGGTTTAAAGTTAATCATAAAAAATATATATTACTTCAAAAACATAAAAATAATCTTATCTGGTCACTAAACTAATGTTTACAACACAGTTGTTGAGTTGAGCGGATGTTGGTTATTAGGGGTATAGTTTTGCTGATTCATTGCTCACGTTATTGTTGACTAAGTTGTTGTTGGGTCAAAAAATCAAGATTCTCTTCAACTACTAGACTTTCAGTTTCAGTGGATATAACTACATGTGTCTCTAAATAAGACTATAACATATCCATTTTTTAAAACACCTTCCAATCTCAGGGCTTTTAAGATTCTAAAAAAATTTGTGGACCACATTTTCACTGATTCGGCAATGTCATGCTCAATGAATGACATACGATAGTGTATGTTGAATGTGAAACTATGCTACTTCTGATCAACATATTTGTACATTGCCCTTTTAATTCTAAGAAAACAGGATTTCGATGCCACCATGAACTCTTTATTTTAAATCACATTATCAATTTTTTTTAGAAACCAGATTCTCTTCAACTACTAGACTTTCAGTTTCAGTGGATATAACTACATGTGTCTCTAAATAAGACTATAACATATCCATTTTTTAAAACACCTTCCAATCTCAGGGCTTTTAAGATTCTAAAAAAATTTGTGGACCTGATGAAAATTTGTGGACACTGATTCGGCAATGTCATGCTCAATGAATGACATACGATAGTGTATGTTGAATGTGAAACTATGCTACTTCTGATCAACATATTTGTACATTGCCCTTTTAATTCTAAGAAAACAGGATTTCGATGCCACCATGAACTCTTTATTTTAAATCACATTATCAATTTTTTTTAGAAACCAGACGCCAACCTTCTGATGCAGCATGGCAAACAATATTCAATTCATCTACATTATCAGGATCTTTCACATATACTATTCCATCTTCTGCATCCATGATACCAAGTAATTTGAAAATATGATCTTTAGCTCCATCAATACTAACTGAAGCACCAACTCCGAGGGTTGCAGTTAATCCAATGATCTAATACAAACAAAAATAAAATGTCTAATTGCATTTTGATGTTAAAAAAACTAGATTTATTTGAATATATCATACTTACCTGAATAGTTTGGCTTTTTGCATTTGGCTTTGCATTTGCATTAGGCTTTTTCTCAATCAAATATCTTCTGAGTATTTCAGCATATGGATGGGAAGCATGTGCATAGTGACATTCATCAAATATCATCATCGAAAAATCAAACAATGATTTCACTGAGTTATCCTACAAAATAATTTTTTTGTACATTATAATACAATACAGTAAAAAGGCTTCATGTTATGCTAAAATTGCTGAATAAAGCTAGGTACAGAAGTTCAGATTTTGGCAATTATAATGCTTATAGTTACAATATAAATTTCAAATTTGTGTTGCCTATGATACTGAACGATTGAACGAAGAGTGTTTTTAATAATTTGCTAAGTAAGTTGATAGTTCAGATGAATATGGTAACAAATTGTGTTAATAGAATTATTTTTAAGGAAATTTGTTTAAAGCAAGGTCAGACACACTCGGAGATTCATCTCTGTTCAGGCAGTCACTAAAGTGCTAAAAGCTACTGATATAACAAAGTTGTTTATCGGACTTCACATCTGGACAGGAATAAAGAGTTGTGTCGGGTGCATACAAAGGTATATTGTAAATGAGAATATATGGGAGTTATTGATGAATATAAGGAAAAATGTAGGTCCAAGAGTTGAGCCCCAAGGAACTCCATGCGAAATTGAGTATGTCAGGGAGCCCTGTACATCAAAATTCAAGAACAACCTTGATTTCGCGAGCAAAGAGAATTGATTTAAGGATAGAAAAAATTAATCCAGATAAACCATAGGATCAAATTTTGTGCAGGAGTACACCACGCCAAACTCTATCAAAAAATATTCAAGGCAATTGATTTAGCTTAACCCTTTTGATCCAATGTGCAATATATTCTTTCACTTATAATTGTTAACAAATCAGTAGTAGAACGCTTTCGATCTACACCCATTTCTTTTCAGATCAAAGATCATCTGATTCTCGTTGACCAAAACTGACTGTGTTGATTCAGATGTTTTTGACAAAAGACTAACAGGGAGGAAGTTACGAGGATCAGTTCGATTCCAATTGTTTTAAAGGCAGCATCATTGGTAGCCAATTTCACTTCAGTACCGACCGTCGTCGCGTGCGGACGTGGCTACCTCGAGTCGAAAATATGCATTCGAGAAGTGAATCTCAGACTTAGTGACATCAATGAACAAATAACAGAAATAGCAGATTTTCGAATGATGGACTGGAAATGTGCAACATGGGTGCAAAATTGAAGATTTTTAAAGATATTGTGAAGATAAGTTTGGACGAAATTATGCTCTGCTCAAAAATGTGACCGGTTATAAAAAAGTTAAACTGCACGAACTGATATTTAAAAATTCACAAACGATTTTTACATTGGTGTGTTGATGTTTTAGTAGATTTTACTAGAGATGTACCGACATTTGCCGCCGATACCGATCTGTTACCAACTAAAAACGCCAATACTGATACGGCGATATTACAAAACTGCCGATATCGCCGATATTCCGATACTATGTAAATATTACCTCAAGTATGCAGGGCAGACGGGTTAAAACACTTGTCTTTGAGCATTATTCATACTACACATTATTTCAGATTGGAGGGATAATTTATTACATCATAAGAAACCAATTCGAAGTTAATATTAATAACGCGACCTTTGAATATCGCCCACACATCGTAGCGCCGCTGTCCGTAGCGCCGTTTTATGTTTTATCATAATTGTGCGTCGCGACAATAAATTAGAGTCGACGTGAGAGGATTTCAATCAACGCTGGCTAGAAATACCTATAACACGTCAAGAATGTTTCTGATTTTAACATTTCATAATATATCGCAAATATTATCGTATATTTCGAGAAGGTCTGAGCGGCCACAGCAATAAATATATGAGGAAATTGTACAGTTAGACAAAATTAAAATTAATGGAATCACAATATTTAATACCTGTAGAGAGATAATTGAGTCGGAATTTAGCTTAAAGATGTCGATGGACTAAATGACACTAGCGCTTAGTTAATGATAAACAGTCAGAATTCATAACCGTGCCAAAAAGTCCGTATGCTGTTAATAAAGACGTTTTTTACACTAGGATTTAAAACTGGGAGCCTAGTTTCTCTTATTTTTGTGCTTGTCAATTACCACAATTTATAGGTATAAATACCGTAATGCTTATTATGTTATTAAGTCTACTTTCTTAGAGCAATTTCATTTATATCACACATGCCTTATGACTGCTTCACAATGATAACATTATCAAAGCCTAATTTATATGTCCCTGGATTTTAGGAAAGTGAACAGGATTTATGTGGGGGATTTGTATCGAAAATATTTTTAGAATGTATTCGAAATAGTCGATGGGTATGACCATCCCTGCTCATAAGGTTTTGCTACCAGGGTTGTGAAATAAATGAATGTTTAGCCTACTTATCCTATCAAATTGATACATTGAGTTACGTGCGCAAGATCATCTTCCAATATAATGACCTAAATTGTATTTTAAACATTAGAAAATCCTCTAATATTCGATGGATATATTTATTCATAATTACTATGTAATATTAAAAACGTTAATATAAAAATTTGGAAGAAATAGCCAATTTATTTGAACGTATGTTTGATAAATAACTAAGAACAGGTCAGAACCCCATTCTCGTTTCCACTCGCGGGGGTGGGAACGTGTATGGCTCATAGTTCACAATTCCCCCAAGCAAAAAATAATTTAAACATCAGTATTCCAACTTATTTTTTAAAACATTTTGGATCATATCAAAAAGGTAAACATATCGGAAATAACGGTCCTAATTCAGTTGATACGGATACCAAAAAATTGGCCAATATTGCCGATACCCGATACCAATACATCGGTACATCTCTAGATTTTACTAGATATATGTTTGAGCATGGAACGGAAACATGCATTCGCACCTTATTTTAGGATTTTTAGGATTGTTTGTTTACATACTGCATCACACGCACAGCGGATTTAATTCACTGTTTTGTTTTCGAAAAAATCGCACACGCAACCTGATTACCAAGTGAAACGCCTGAGTAATGACCGCTGTCAATATTTATTTGTTTGTGTGTGTGACTTGTTTTCTTCCTTTTTCGGTAAGTGAACACGTTTCATACGTTTTAAACTTACCGTATTTTATTAGGTTTTGTTCACTTTCCAGATTCTTCACCTTAATCTTTTGTGTATATATGTTTATTTTGTTTTTGCGAATGAATCGAAATAAAATCTTATCTTATCTTAAGCAGCACACAAGTAATTACAGAAAGATATACAAGTCTAGAATGGACAGATAATAAAACCAATCACTATGGAAAAAACTAGTCAAAATCAAAAATATGATCAATATTGTACTGAAACATACTTTCAGACAATTCAGCAGTATCTGTGGAGTCATCACAATCAAGTCAGAACTGTAAATTCGCTTTTGAAAATCTTTCTCCAAGTGATCCTCAAGATTCCCACGAAGCATGTCAATCCTCCTACAAACACATAATCAATATAATAGTCATGATTTCATTTGACTTTCCAGACAACATGAAAGATGTTTTTTATTCAACTAAAATTGAAACTTTACAGATATCTCAAGTACAGTATCAAGAGCAGAATTCCGAAGAAAAAGCCACTCATGTATATAAAAAGCTATTATAAATTTTGTGAAAATCAGAATCTTTTTAATTTGGCATAACTTGAATGATAAATTGAACCGCATGAGGGTAAAAGTGCAACAGGTTATGACCAGATATTTTTAACCCGCCGTGCCAACCCAGATAGGTTCATGCAAAAGTCAAGTGCCACTATCCTCTAATTCTAATCGAATATAGCATGATGTGATCAAAATAAATCCTTAAGAATTCACACTAAAACTACTATGTGAAAGCAATATTGTTTTATTCTCTTGCTATAAACTTTATTTTGTATCCAAAACATAAATCTTTTTAATCCAGTTCCCATACATATCCAGTGAGACAAGCATTAGGAGAAATGCAGGTAAATTCATTAGACAAACCTCCTCACTTTTTGCTATAAAAAAAATAGTTCGGATTCAATATTCAAAGCTCACTTTATGTTGGGAAGATAGTCTTTCATTTTACCACATTGTTGCTCTGCAAGTCCTCCAGTTGGTGTAAAAAAGGCAACTTTTTGTTCTTCACATTGACCAACTTTAGTAACCTTTCCTTTAAGGTGTTCTCCTATTATATGAGCAGCAACTCTGGTTTTTCCTGATCCTGAATTAATGGAAAAAAATATTAATAAATTTTGAATTATTTGGTTTTATAATATTTTGAATAAACTACACATATGATTTTTAATAAATAAACATTTTAAAATAAAATAAAACACTCACCGGTTCTTTCACATATTATAACATTTGTGCCATTCAATGCTAACTTAGACAACTCTTTTTGATAATTGCGAAGCTCATATTCTAGAATTCATATATAAATATATATATATAAACATGTATATATGTGATAAATAAAAGAAAACAGTATAAACATTCAATAAAGATTTGAAAGATGGAACATTACATTAGAACAAGAGATCTTGTTGCTAGCATATGATGAATCCGCATAGCAAAAATTAGCAGAACAATAGAAAAGTAGAAACTTTGTAAACTTTTTTAGATTTAACGAGCTGATCAAAATCTATGATTCAAAAAGATAATCTACAGAACAGAAAAGTTCACACTGTCAGATAAGTACGAAACGTTGTTTGGTTTATCCAAAATTATTGTGATGATGTAAACATGAATACATTTCAGATGTATATCATATGTATATAATATACTTACGCATAGATTCTGGTTGGGCTGGGATTTCAATGTGTTGTTGTTCAGAAAGCCTAAAATGTTTTTGACAATTCTCTTTTTCATCTGAAGATTTGAAGACAGTTTTGAAGAGAGTTTACAATAATATATTTCAATAACATGTTGATAAATTTAAAAGTTGGTCAATCATTACCGTTTTGTTTTCTTTTCATCAAACTGCACGAAGGAACATCTGCGTCAGATATCTGTTAAGCATTAAAAAATTCAAAAATATCATGGCGTGGCTAAATAAAATTAACCTATCATATTAAGCACTTAAAATATATCGTTGTTACATCAGTAATTATCTTGCAAAGGTTCATGAGAGGGTTAATTTTAGGCACAAAAGTAATGGACTTGACATCATAGAGTGGTGGTGTAACCACTGGTACATTACAGCTTCCAACTTTCAAGTCCTACATCTGAAACTTGGACCGCAGAGAGAGAGAGAGCCATGGCTTATTGTATGAAATAAGCTGTTTTGTCTGGTCCTCTTAATGTTTGATCAATATAATTGATAATAGATAAGTAACACGCTGCAAACAGACACTTTCATCTGGAAATACTGAAATTTGGATAGTGATTAATCGATCAAGTACCAAAACAAAACCAATTCTTAGTTTAACTTGTAACACAGTAGAAATTTAGAAAAATGATCCATAGATGCATTGCAAGCTGCAGCCAGTAATACATTTCAATTCCACACCCAAACAGTCTGACTATTTTTTTCCAAACAAGCTATAACATTACTAACAAAACAACTCGTCACTCCTTGTTGAATACATGCCATCTGTTCATTCATTGCTTCTGGCTGTTCATCAACCACTAATTCATTAACAACACTGTCATCAAAGCATTCTGTAAGACAATTGAAAATAAATTTTATTAAATAGGAAATTTAGCAATGAATAAATTGCTTTTGTTGATGCGTTTATTCAACTCAATATTGAGCTTCATTACCACAAGTTAATATCAACTTCAAAAAAGGAAGAGTTTGTAAGTATTTCTGTGTTTGTTCAATAGAAAGCTCTGGACATAGCTAGAAATATCGGTATCTAATCCGTGAATTTTTCACACCCAAAATATTTAGGAATCAAAAAAAATCAAAAGCCTGGATTTTCATGAATTACAAAGTTACTGAATTCCAGTAAAAATATTCTTAGTAAAACGTAATTTTACTCACCAAAATAATCTTTTAAAGCTGTGGCTAAATCAGCATATTCAACATCTTCAAACATAGAAGAAGTAGCATTGTAATTTAATTCCTTCACTGCATCAATGAAATTACTGATCCAGCCAGGTGCCTTGTAAATCAGATTGTTTAATAGGGCAAACATTCCATGCCTAGAAGTTAATCGTGATGCGATGTTTTCAATTCCTTCTCTGAATGTTAGAATGAAACAGATGAGTGAATCAACTGAATGAAAATATGGTATCAGCATTTATTATTACCAAATATGGGGAGGAAAAAATATATATGATATAAAACTAAAACTAAGATATTAATGTAAATTCAAAAAAACAGCTTAATGTAAGAAAAAAAAAACTCTAATAATGTTAATACATTTAACTCTTTGAACCCCAAAATCCGGTATTCCCGAGAACATCTTCTGACGCTGAAAACCGGTAATCCGACATTGAGGTATGCAACTTTGAAACCTCATATCTCCCAAACTTTAGATTTTATCAGGACAAGTTTCACATTGTTTGGAAAACAATCTCAAAGATTAATTATAATTAGGAAATGACAAGAAAAAGTCGCAATTACTCTGCAAAAATCAGACTTATATTTGTTTTCTTTTTTACCTAATACACACACATTTGTACAGGTTAAAAATAGCTTTAGAATGGTACCATTAGATTGAATTTATGGTGCACAAGTGAAATTGTTTGAGCAACTTTATCAATGTTTTCTTCGCTGTTACATGTCCGCTTCACCAACTTGACATAAACAACGGCGCTACGCAATTACTTGGCTACCCCACGACGTTACGCTGCAGTCTTACGTTGCTTAAAGATGCCAGAAGTTTATTCTTAATAAATTATGCAATTAATTACCTGTAATTTTAGGTGTTTTTTGTTGAATGGAACAAATGTGATTTCTAATCGTGATGGTCAATTTAAGTTTTCATAAAAAACAAATGCTAACCTGTCATCATCAGAAAGATCATTTTCCAAATGAATAAGTAATTCATTAACATTTATATTTTCCAATGCAGGGAAAATCACTTGAAAAATTCTTTTGATCTTTTCAGGTTTTTTGAGATATCGAAATATAGATTCAGCATCGAAATTATCACAATCCGTCAACAGAGGAACAAGCCAACAGTAATTTGTCTCTTGAAACATTAAAGAAAAAATTCATCAAAAGACTACCTTGAACACATATTGGGATAAAATGTAAACAGATAAAACTTAATAATATTGCAAGCGAATGAGCTCGGAGATATCATACATGTTATGGTTTTAAAATATTACTCATTCAGAAGATACATAAATAATGATTCAAGAATAATTATTGTTTAAGAAAAAATTTGTTAAATTATTTTAGAAACCCGAAAATTCAATCGGGTGGCTCTATCATATAGCATGCCATAACATAACCAGTATATGAGAATAGCTAACCAGTAAAATTATACAGACCCAGTCCAGGGCATCCAACAGAGTTCAGTATTAGGTATATTGAAGGAACTGTGAAATCCAAAAGTTGGCAAACTTCAAAAAATATCTTATCGTCTTTGAAAATCAAATGGAACAATAGTGAAAGTAGAATCAACATTAATTAGGTTATACAATAGATAAAAATTACCTTTTTTTAAAACATCAATAAACTCTTGGTATTTGTTGCCACCATAACCGTCATCTGCATTGAGCCATTCAAGAAAAATGTTAACTCTTTGTTTCCTCCCATTGTCACCAGTTGTCGAAATAGACATTAACGCATCTCCAACTTAAAAATTAATGAATATCAAAACTATCACAAACCATCAAAGTGCATATTATTTTATATGGTTTTTACATTCAAAGACAACTACATTTTTCAAAGATCCTTATTAAAACCAACCTTCAACTACAAAGAATTGCAAAAAAACTACACCATATATCCCCACATATAAGCAAACCAAACCCCCTTGAGAACAGCTTCAAAATAGTGAATTTAAAAAAATTCGCATATAAGCCGACCCTACGAATCTTAACACGCTGTGGGTACCTATCATAGTCAAGGATGTTCAATTTGAATATTGCTATTTGCAACTTTCTAGTATCGCTTTTAGTGTTTATATTAATACTGAATATCAATCACACATTTTAGCGCCGATGTCCGCGTTTTGATTGAAAACATACCTTTTGATTGAAATCATATATCAAGTATTACCATATATTTTATGTTTCATCATAATCGAAGACAGCCCATTCCGTAAATTACTGTCGACATGAAAGGATTTAAATCAGCACCAACTTTGAGTACCTCTAACATGTCGAGGATGTTTTTGATTGAAAATATTTTACAAATTTTATATTTCATATTTATGTAGCAATTAATTACAGCCGACATGAAACTCTTTAAATCAGCGAAGACTTAGAGTACTTATAAGACATCGAAGATGTTTTTGATAGAAAATATTTTACAAATATTATATTTTATGTCTATGCAGCAAATAATTACTGCCGACATGAAAGGATTCAAAATAGGATGACTCGAGTACTTATAACACGTTGCGAATGTTTTTCATTCAAAATATTTTACAATTACTATTGTATATTTAACAATAATTTTTTGGAAATTTTTGAATTTCCAGCCTATAAAATAGCTCCTAATTAAATATTATTTAGTATCTATTGCAATGGTATTTGTTAGCCTGGCAGCTTTAATGATAATATTGTTCGGTTCAAGTTCACCAAATTATTTATGAAATGTCATTTAGTTCAAGCGCGATCAGAGTTATGCGTGTATAAGCCAACTCCTTAATTTGGCAACTTTTTTTTTAGTTTTAAACACGGCTTATATGAATGGGAATGAATGCGAATGGGAGTGTATACGGTATTCTCATAAAATAATTTTGGTCTTCTAGAAACACATTACAAAAATTTTGTCAATGGGTATCATATTTTTTAAGTTATTGAAGGCAACAAGTTGAAATCACATAACCCAATTAGCAATTTATGGTTGTATAAAGAAAAGTAATAATACTGAAATAAATTACCAACCTGACGAATACAGACCAGTTCCACCTGGGAACAGGTTCATGATGTCTTTTGGTTCCAAAAAGTATCCACATAAAAACTCCAAATAATGGAGCTTTGTTGTAGAATCATTCATTTTGAAATATTTGATAATCAATAAAAAATAGACCTGGACAAAATGTCAATATGAAAAAATCTATAAACCGTTTTGCATCTTTTCATATGAATTCAAATATCCCTTCATATGAATGTAAACTTGAATATAAATTTGTCTTTAACACTTATATTTTTATATTACCGAAAACAAATAATTTTCGAGCCTTCCAAACTTGATTTATACTCATTCAAAAATAGTTTCTCAATAAAAAATACTGTGGCAGGGTACTGGATTAACAAAAAACTTTCAAAATTAAAATTATTTTCTGTGGAAAAAGCTTAATATATATAGGAATATCAGTCTATCTATAAATAAATCTCTAACATAAACAAAATAAAAAAGTTTTAACACGTTCAAAAATATTTCATAAATTTAAATAAAATTTAATTTAAAAATAGAGAGTGAGAGAGAGGATAGGATTTACAAATTTATTCCAGGAAAGAGAAAAGCCGATAAGACGGCTCAACCCTATGGCGAACCACGTCCTCTCATCCGGTTACCATTCTATGTTGGGTATGGGATTAGTTGTTTATTTGTTTTCGGAAGCATGGACTTGATGGTGGAGGAAGCCGTAACCGACCAGCGGTTACATGAACCACCCTACGACGACCAGGAGTCCAGCAATCCTCTCGCACATAACTATCCCTGCATGAGATTCGAACCTGGTAACCCACACAGGGTAATCAGAAGTGCAGTGGCAAGCATATTCCTAACGCCTAGCATGATGAGCCAAACCGCCGCACAAGAGAGATAATATATTATTTCTGAATATATATTCAAAATATACATGGTAGTAAAAACAATAAAAAATAATCATAAAATATAATTGGAAAGGGTCAGGCAAGACTGCAAAGTGAACAGATCCCTTCTTCATGATTAAGCACAGCTGTCAAATCCAATATTCACATAAACATTCAAAACAAACAATGAACTTTTTCATCCCACTGATATTTTCAATTACATCATAAATAACAAATCCCAACAATTTACTGTAAAAACAATTATTCAATACATTTACTGAACAAACAACGATATAAATTCAAAATATGAAGAGATATTTCAGGCCCATAAAATATAAAACTCCTCCATGTGATAAGTGGTATATACCTTTACTCTTTTTGATCTTAAACCATGCGTTTTTTGGTCGATGAACAAGAATTTGTTTTCAAACAGCAACACAGAAGTTATGAGTCTCAAAACAAAAACACGAAGCATATACTAAAAAGGACATGATATATACCAGGCATAATACAAAACTGATTGAAATAAATTGACCTCCAGAATATAGCTTATAATACCTAATATATCAAAATACAAGTTGAAGAACTCTTACAAATAATAACAGTTAGCCTAGTTGTACCTTTTATTTGCACTGTGTTATTACAGCATTAATCCGTAATTCCTCAAGATTACCAGATTATAGAATGATCCATTATAATATACAGATGTCCCTCTGTTCTGATGTTACGTCTATACAGGCAGTTCTAACGTTCTGTAACTTATAAGCTACAATGAAGGCAATAGTTTATAAACTATACTGCATTACCTGATATTGGCTATTGCGATACCGCTATACTATGAACCGTCTGAGAGAAAGTCGAATCTACAACAGAGAAGAACCGAGAAGATATGTCGTGAAAATATTTGCAACAGTGGGGATTTCCCAATCTCTTTCGTGGGGAATCCCCCGTAAGAAAACTTGTGCAGACACCGGGTTACACTAAATGTTGTTTGAGAACTCGGAACACGCGGGCAATGTCATGTCATGGTTTGAGCCGTAAATGAATCGCCGACATATGTTTTCCGTACATTAAACATTGATAACAGTTTATTCATGTTACAGCAGTGAATAGATTTGAAATCTCAATTCTGTATTTTATTGTTTTTCTTGGCTTGGCATATCTTATCAGACACTGTCACCAGCCAAATGTATTTAAATTGTGGTGCTTGTTAAGTTGGATATAAAATCTAAAATATGATGATCAGATGACTATTCTGGATAAATTATGAACTCAGTTATTCTATTTTATTATATTATTCTATATTTTTATATCTCAACTGTATACAAAGAAATGTAAACATAACATCTGATGTTTTGTCGTCATTTGTGCACCACGCAATCACTCACTGGCTTTATTTTAAAATGTAACGAAAGTGATTGAACCACGCATCCATACAATAATAAGCAAGCTACTGCGTTTAAAAATAAAGTCTTCTCAAGTTGTTGAAGGAGTTTAAATGATATCCATCTATCTTATAATTACCTTTTTTTTTTAAAGTAGTTCATAGTTGCAAAAATCTCTCAGTTTTGTGATCTTTATCGAATTGGTTAATTTTGTATTATATCGAGTGAGATTCTTTTTAGTTCCCTAATTTTTCGACTACATTGATTATAAAAAATCTACTTGTAAGGTTGTGAGCGAAGTATGTACAACACAAAGATAGCATTATTTAATTTCTGAAATTGATGTCACAAAACACAGGTCCTTATACCGCATAATAAAGTTTTGATAGGTTGTAGTCTAGCTCTTGACCTCATCATCTACGTCAGGGGTCGGCAACCTTTTGTCGCTCGCGGGCCGAAATAAGGTTGCAAGTCATTGGCGGGCCGCACATATTTTTAGAAAGTTGAAAAATCGAACGGATGGTACTTTTTATAATAAAAATCAAGCAGTGATACATCTCTCGAATAGAATATAGATTTATTTCCTCATTGCATCTCATATAATTTCATTTGAATATTTTCAGCGCCATTGAACCCTTTGCACTTAACATCAACTTTTCTGCGTTTTGTTGCCATTTGCTTAAATGATTAAATTATAGGCTCATTAAACGAGTAATTGTGAAATATATAATTGTTAGGTTATAATATAATTTAGTCTAAAGATTATATTCATCCAAACAGATGTTTTGTTACTATAATTTAGTGGAGCGTCGCGGCCGGATTATAGTGCTTCGCGGGCCGGATCCGGCCCGCGGGCCCTAGGTTGCCGACCCCTGATCTACGTCATTCAAGCATTCGTAAGGCACAGGATGTGGATCTAGTTGTATAAAAACTAAAGAAGGAAGAACTTTTGTTATAATATTGAGAATCCAGTACAATTATTCTGTTATCAATCATACCACATAATGTTTTATAAACTTTATCTGCTTGATTATAATTCAATGACACTTCTCTATACATTCGTATGTCAATTTCGTTACTCCTGGGGAACAAGAATCATGACTTGTGCTAATAAATCAGAAAGTTGTTCAATGTTAACTTAATAAAAAAGTGCTGCAGATTGAAGAAAAGCTCCGCAAGTCATATTGACCACAACACTTTTCGGTATGAATTCGGTCAGCATTACCCGTGTATTATTTTTTTTTTACAAATTCTTACATATTTTGTGTAGATTTTATATCGTAGAGTTGCCAGTGGTTTTAAACCTTTTTGATGGCTCGGACCTCTAAGGCAGTGTTCCGCAACCGGTGTGACGCGAGACGATGCCAGGTGTGCCGCACAGGAATTGCAACTTTTCTCTTCTTTTTACAAATTATTTTTTATCTTTTGCTAATTTTGCGTTAATCTACTACTCTACTCATACTAACGTAAAGTTAACCTGCTTTTACGTTAGCATGAGCGACACCAATTCAAATTCCTGACACCCCCACTGTGCATTTGTGATGTAACAAGGAGTGGGTCTTTATGTCAAGCAAGTACGGTGTCCCAAAAATGTCGTGTTCCACTTGTCCCACGTGTCCCACTTGTACCACGTGTCCCACTTACGGGTAAGGATTATCATATTTTTCAATTTCTAATTTTGAGTAAAGCGATCCAACACAGTTTTTGTAAATTTAGAATTGTCGAACCAGATAAGTACGACTGGTAAATTTTGTATTCTATGGAAATTTTCCGAGATATTTTGGACGGGGAGAAATATTATTTTGACCACGTAGAAATGCCATTATTGCCGATTTATTCAAGTGTTTAGTATCAGTGTTTTATTGCAGAGCTGAGTTACGTTAATTCTCAACACTGAATATTAGAGAGATTACCAATTTGCGGAGTTTTTGATTAATATTATTTAATACGAAAGTAACACGGACACGATATAAAATTAAAAGCATAAAAAAGTCAGCTATCAGCTTCACAAATATCGCATTCCGCGGTCAGTAATACTGTTCGCTTAAAATTGGGAAATTAATTTACAAACTGTGATACGAATCCTACATAAAGATAAAAATCAGCATAAAATTAATTTGTGTTGTGAATGCACTCTTTAAGAGTTTTCTTTGACTTCGTCGCCGATGTGAAATCAAATTTCTGTCCAAAAAATAAAAACCAAACTTCGATATCCGCCGTTGCATGAGAATTAATACTTACTAGTGAATAAAAAGTACTTTAATATAGTTTATCATCCTCAACTGAGATGTCAAGCCGCCGAGAGGATCGCGGTGACAATAATATTTACTGCGGTCTTGGATTATGACAAAATTAGGAAATAAAAATCGCTGCATTGTTGCGAAGTTTTCAGTGTTCAAGTAAATTCCAAAAAAATAAATTGTCACGGCGATCGTTTCGGCGGCCGACATCCCAAATACGGTTGTTTGAAATGAAAATACTGTTCGTTGAAAATATTTGAATAATTCGACTAAAAAACTATTTGCCCACCACTAATCACGACGCATGTTAATTATCATTGAATGGCAATTAAAAATCTACTTGTTTAACATTAAAATCCAAGTAATAGTTTCCCATTTAATGCATTTGATCGGCGCTACATGCGAGCGTTTTTTTGTACTTATAAACGATTTCGACGCTACTGACATTCACGAGTTACACTTCTCTCAAAATTATTTCTCGCAATTTCTAATGTTCTATTTTCAAATGCGGGTACTGCTGACTACGGATTAATGGTCGATAATTGGAATAGGACTTGCAAAATATTCACCATAAACCGCCAGGCACATAAGAGACGGGCTACACGCCACTGTGCTATTTCGCTGTGAACGACGCATTCTTTTC